ACACACACACACACACACACACACACACACACACACACACACACACACGGAGGCATATATAGGCATGCACACATGCACTCATGCAGGCATGAAGGCCATCACACCTTGGCCTGCCTCTTCTTTTTCTGAACTTACCAAGTCCTGTTGCCTGGGCAGTCCACTCAATAAAACCTGACTTTGTCAGAGCTGGGGCTTCTGAGATAGAATCAAAGGCCCTGGTCTGGGTGGAGACATAAAATAAGGTGGTGATATGCAGGCCCTGGAGCTGGGTTCACTAAGCACTGTAGTGTGTAGGGCATTGACACCAGGGCTCCCTGGAGTGGGATGGGGGGCTGTGGCTAGGTCACTCTTCCCTGAATGTCCTCCATGGCAAGGCCTCATGTAGTCTTTGTAGCTAAACATCCTGGACCTCCACAGGTCAAAGAGCTCTGGGAAATTGGACTGGTTCCCTTCTCGCCATCCTGCAAGGGCTGCTCTGAAGAGATCCTATACCTAGAAATAAGGATAATTGTGGCATTCTCCCACTAAGAAATATCTCAAGACTAGGAAGAGAACTTGCCAGAAAAACACTAGCTAACGGTATGGACTCTCGGACTCTGGTTAAGATTGCAGTCTTCTGTGTGACCTTGGAGAAAGAGGGGATGGGGGTGAGTAGGGACTGCCTGTCAGCAGCAGTAGAGCAGAGGCTGGAAACACAGAGCCCCTCTCCCCAGCCCCCAACCCCCGCTGCCACTCCAAGCAGCCTGAGATCAGAGATCCATTTTACTATAGATCTGAGTTGGGGAGATTTTAACATTTAAGTAGTGGGCGAGGTGTGGGAAGGGAAAGACACTCAGGAAAAGGATGAGACAGAACCAAGCATGTTTGTGGCCCACTTAAGAGAGTCACACTCAAGTGCCCTTACAATGATATGAATTTGATGGTGTCTGAAGTTATGTCTCAGAGGCTGCGAAGGAACCTTTCCTTCTTCAGTACATAAGATCAAGATGGCTCCTGGTGTGCACTGGATAGGCTAACAGACAAGGTAAAACTCCAGGTCACAGAGTTATGTGGAAGTTGAGTACTTAATGTAAAAATTTTTATAGTTGTCTTTGTGAGATTCCACCCAAAATTCTAAGTTTCTATCCAGGTAGAGTGAGGCCATATTTGAAGGCCATACACACATGAGCCTTAACCATGGTTCATTAGTATTTTAACATTCTTGGGAACTTCTTGGGATTTAAAGTGTCATATGAAGAGAAGGTGAAGGCAACAGGGCCTGGAGAAGCATAGCTATTTTATGATTAAAGTATCCGGGAGCTGGGAGGACTGATTGTCTCTGTGACAGGAATGCACACTAGGCCGGCCTGGAGAGCCTTCCTCATTGTCATTGCTTATGCGTCTCTGCTGCCTGTTTTGTTTTTCTGAGTTCTAACTCCAAAAGCATCATTTGTCTCTCTTTTCTTTCTTCTCCTCCTCCTTTCTGGTTTAAGACAGGGTTTAACTTACTCTTTAGGTCAGAGTTGGTTTAGAACTCACAGAGGTCCACCTGCCTTCACATCCTTAGTCCTGCCTTCACATCACTTAGTCCAAGGTTCTCTTTTAATTAAAAAAAAAAAATAAACATCTTGGTTTGTGTGTGTGTGTGTCTGTGTGTCTGTGTGTCTGTGTGTGTGTGCGCCACGGCACTGTGATGGCCACAGGACAACTAGTGTAAGTTGGTTCTTTCCTACCACGTGGGCTCTGGGGACTAAAGTCAGGCCATCAGGCTTGTCAGCTTTTACATCTGAGCCGTCTCCCTGCCCCCCTTCTCCCTCTTTCTATGTCTTGTTTTGAAGTCAGCCAAGCTGCTAAGCTTGCTTGCCCTAACCTACAGGGCATTCTTTGCTTCTCTGAAGGTCCACCCCACCCCCATGTAGCTGCTCACAGCTGATTATCACTAATTTTAAAACAATGTCTCATGGGCCAGGAAGATGGGTTTTACCAGTAAAGGTACACATTGCCAAGTCTGATGACTCCAATCCTCCAGGAACCCACATGATGGAAGAAAAGGACTCCTCAAATTATATACACGTGTGCAACACACACACAAATTTTAAAATGGCTTTCTTCTTACCCCTTTCCCTTGTCCCAGAAGCTGCTATGATTTCCAGCTTTCCTGCCTTTTCTCTCAAACTCTAATAAAATGGTCCTTAAGCTTCCAAGTCTGTTTTTAAAATTACTTTTATTTTAGTGTGTGTGTGTGTGTGTGTGTTGCCTACATGTATGTGTGTGTATATCATGTAAGTGCCTTGTACCCACAGAGGCCAGAAGGGGGTGTTGGATCCCCTGAAACTGGAATTACAGATGATTGTGAGCTGCTGTGTGGGCTCTCACCCACTGAACCATCGCTCTAACCCTTCAAATATGTTCTCAAATTCTTTTGTTTACAAGTCTAATAAATCCAAAAGGGGACTCCATGTTCCCTGGTTATGTGCTCAGACAAACACATCAGCAGAGTAGAAGCCAGGAGAGGAGTGACCACCCTCTGACCCAAATCTACCAAGAGAGGGGTTATACCCATTCAAACATCCAACATTTACCAGAAGACCTAGAAAACCTGAATCTCCCAGGGTGAGAGGCTACCCCAGCTCAGATACTTCAAATCCAGGAGAGGAATGTTCATCTTAGACCATCCCCAGAATCTATAAGGGGAGAGAAGTTCCATAGATACTCCAAGGATCTAGAAGCCAGGGGCCCAGTCAGCATCAGGTCAAGTCTTAACCAGAACTTACACAAGAGGAAACAGAAAGCCTGAAGAGTTCTGTCTGTTCCCAACATCCTGAAGAAAAAGCCTTGAATTTATAGTCACCTTCAGAGTTGCAATTTGCTATGCAGCCCCTGAATGAGTGGCAGAAAGATTATAGGAGTGGCGTGGCATCAAGAGGAGATTTAAAGTTGGGGGTGGGCAGTTGCTCAGGGATCCTACAGGGCAGAGGCATGTATGGCTCTATGTGTCACTACCCTGTGTAAACAAAGGGTTAAGCCATAGGACACTGATTTGAACAGGATAACCTGCTCCATTAAGCCCCATCTGAACAAAGATGGAGCTGCAGAAGTCAGGCCAGCAGCCTCCCCTCCCCATGGATCAATGGAAATTAGGACACCCTTGTGGCTTGGCTGGAGGCTCCTGTCAAGCGGATTGGTGGAAACAGCAACAGAAGAGAACAGTTTGGCTTGCTTACAGCATTCTTCCTTTTAATGCAGCTAAACCTTCTATAGCCTCAGAAAGGAGACAGGTCTATTAAAAGCCGCAGCCTGGGGAGCAGCTGAAGACCCACCAGTCGCCCAGGGCCAGTCCCCACAACCACATAGGGGACAGCAGCTCCTCGCTGTGGGAGGTTCTTGTCATCCCTGCTGACAACACCACTTTCCTAGTATTTTGTGTTAAAAAATATATTTTGAGGCTGTGATGCTGGTGGGTGAAGTGAAAGGTTTCCAGTGAAAGATGGAAATGGATGGTCTTTGTTCAAGGTCATCTCCAGTTTCAGTTTCTTTAACTCCTCCTGAAGTTTCTTAGTCTTTGGGGAGAAGAGGAAGAGGTGTGAGTTAGACCGGCAGGACAAATTAATCCCCACTTTGGTGCATATGAGGTGTGTGCAGGGGATACCTTTGCCCTAAACACCCACAGGCTGCATGTTAGTGTAGCCTCCTCAGTGGTGTGAAGGGGCCACACAACCTGGACATCTGGTAGCTCTTGCACTACCCTTTCTACAGAGTTAGCAATCTTGTGAGCCACTTGCCATAGTGTCCCTTTCCATGCTCCCCAAGACTCCTGTGCAGGCAGCAGTATGAATGAGGGAAAAGAGGAGTCCACCCTGGTAGCATACTACTGTGGCTTGTGATGGGATATCACCCTAAACATAATCCCAGCTAAGGTTTCTAACTGCCCAGGAACAGAGCCAGCCAGCCAGAGAGGGCCAAGGAAGGAAACTGCCCAGGCTGGAGTCAGGTGTGTGCTTCGTGTTCCGTGTTCCCCAGCCCATCTGCCAAGCAGGAAAAGGTAAACTCAAGGGAGACAGCTGGTGGTCACAGGTGGGCAGTGTTATCAGTAACGAAGGTCTTCTCACCTCTGCCTGCCCAGTGTCTGTCTGCTGTGGCCAGCTGCCTGATCCTTAGGTGGAAACCTTAACTCACCCCTCCACCCCTTCTCCTGGTCTCCTCAAGCCCAGCCCCACCATCCTGGCCCAGCTCCGAGGGATGCCCCCACACCCCAGGAGCCTCAGCTCAGCTCTCAGGTCCACACCACAACAGTCAGCATTGCTGTTAGTTGGTTAGTATCTGCCTCCTGGAGCCTCATTTTAGACTTTGCTGTTCCCTTTGTGCCTGTCACTTGGTGTTTCCAAACTGGACATCTCTCCTAAGCCCCTGCTTCTGTACAAACCTGCTTCTTGTAGCCAGATGCTCTGGTACCCTAGCCAGCAAGGTCTCCTGGCTTTCTTCCCCTTTCCTTTTCCTCCCCCCACCCTTCCTTTTCCTTTCCTTTCTTTTCCTTTTTTCCCTTGCTCTGCTCATCCCTCTCAGACAACCTCCATGGCAGAATTTACTCCGTGCCCTCTGGAGAGGCTGGGCAGGACGTAACACTTTTGTGGGCCTGAGTGTCCTCAACAGCATTTCTGCTGCTCTGGCCTCATCTTCCATCATCACTCTGACATGGGATTGTTCAGTCCTTGGTCAGGACATCAAGCTCCTATCATGCAGACTACCCTTTCTCTAACTGTGCTTTTTTCTCTTTTGAGACAGGGTGTCAGGTAGGCCAGCTGTAGCTTGTGCCTCACTGTGTAGGCGAGTATGACCGTGGACTCCTCCTCCTTCTCCCTCTACTCCTAAGCCCCGGGATTGTAAGCATGTGCCAGCATGTCTCCTGTGCTGCAGAGCAGCCTCAGGGTTTCACACATGCTAGGAAAGCTAATTTTTTATTTTTAAATGTTCCTTCACTTACTCTGGCATCTCCTGGAATATGCTAGCACATGTTGAACCTCCTGGACCAATCCTCTAGCAGTTGTTGCCTTAAAATCTTGTTTCAACTCTGTTGTCCATATCCCCTTTTCTTTACATTGTGCTTCTTGGGCATTTATTTAAAAATCTCACCTCCAGGCACTTACTGTGCTTCTACCAATGCCCAGGAAGTAATGTTATCATCGGTGTCGTCATCATCATCATCTTCTTCACATTTTTTAGATGTGTTTGCTTTATGTGTATGAGTTATTGCCTGCATATATGTGTGTGCACCACATGAGTGCCTGGAGCCAAGGGAGGTCAAAGATTGCACTGGGTTCTCTGGAATTAGAGTTAAACATGGCTGTAAGCTGTTGTGTGGGTGCTGGGAACTGAATCTAGATCCTCCAGAGGAGCAGTGCTCCAGCCCTACTGTGTGTTTCTTAAAGTTGGTATCTGTTTATCCCTTTTGGCTTTCCTGCAGACTTGCTGAGGCCTCTCCTGAGGGCCCAGTGGAGGCTGGTTCCTCATTCATGAGGATGAGATTCCATAATCACCATACCTCATAGGTGTTGCTGGGCACCCACTGGCCACTCTGTATTGGGTTGGCTCCAGGGAATACCTGTGCAGTGTTTGTCAGGAGAGTAAGGAAGGCTCTTCCTACTTTGACAGGGGCAACCTATCCGGCTTGTGGAAAGCAGAGGCTTTGTGACAGCTGGGTAGCCATGTAGTCATGGCTCCCTTTCTAGGTCCCTAGGCCCCCAGGGTCCCAGGGTAGCTCCTCCACATCTACCTGCTCACCTGGGGGCACACTCCCCAAGTGCCCTCCCCCACCAGGGTGACAGGTCCTTTCCCAGAGCTCAGGCAGGCATCGCATGGCCATTGTCACCATACCTGATTCCCCAGGAAGGACCGGCTGTGCTGGGTGGGACAGTAGAGACAGCAGTGACTGCCCAGGGACAGACTCTCACCTCTCACCTGCTGTCCCTATGTTTGCATCTTTTAAAAAAACTTTTGTATTAGTTCTTTGAAAAACTGTCATGTTTTCATCATATTTCCCCCTCTTCCAATTCTTCCCAGATCTACACCCCTCACCCACCTAACTCTGTGACCTTGCCCCCACTTAAAACTCATTAAGACCAATTTGTGCTTCCCAAATAGTCATTGGTGTGTGGCTCACTGAGGCATGGTACATTGACGAGGGGCTACACTATCACCCAGGGGCAGACCCCTAGGGCATCCTCCCTCACATGGCTATCATTTGTCAATAGCCTTTCTGCTAGGAGTAGAACTTGGAACCAAATCCATGCTGCAATTGGATCTAGGTTTGCATTCTTGTGTTCTGGGGTTCTATGGGATAAATCTCACAGTTGGCTGGTGTTTTCTTTCTTTCTTTCTTTCTTTCTTTCTTTCTTTCTTTCTCTCTTCAGGCTCTGAATGCTATATCTCTAGGGACTTTCTTCTTATAAAACTTTGCTGGCCTCAGTATGTGCTAGGATACAGGCTCAGTCATTATGCCAAAGGTCAGATAACAGTGACTGAAAACCAGGGTGTGTGGCTTCTTGGGGGAAGCTAGAGCCTAGTGCTGTAGACTCCCTGCAAGGGTTACTGGACATCCATGGTTTTCACCTCAAAGCTCTCCTGCCTCCATTGTACCCGTCTAGAAGGGTAGCTCCAGTTTCATTTCTTTCTGGCTGTGGAGGGGCAGTGATTAATCTGGCTGCAAATGTGATGTGCTGACTTGGAAGGCTCAACCTCATGGTAGGGTTGAGGCCAGGGTTTACTTTTGTCTATCGGGAGAGAACAGACATGGAGCCACAGATAGGCTGTCAAGAAAGCCTTGTCTTGGGCCAATGCCAGACTGACCCGGAACTAAGCAATGGTGGAGTCGTGGGCACCCAGGTACCAATACCACAAAACCTCTGCTTCCTTCCACCAGCTTCCTGTCAACACAGGAAGGGGCTCGGCTCTGTGCTTCGACCCTAAGCAGGGACACAGAGGCACAAGATGGATGCAGATGGTATCTATTACTATGTTGGGACGTGTTTAAACTTCAAGCATCTGGGAAGAGTTTAGGGGCACAATTTGCTCTGTTTAAGAGCCCAGAGGCATGGTCATACGGATCCCCGTGGACTTGTTACAGTGTTCTCTTTCTAGGCAACAGCAATGAGCCCTTTCCAAACAGCTCCCTTTCAGCCAGCACAGGGCTTCAGCCCACCATCTGGGTGTGAGGCCTTAAACAATGACTCCACAAACTCGTGGAGTAGACCAGTTTCAGATCTGATGCCTGTCCTCAAAGGTCCTAAGCTATCATGGTCATGCCATTATGTCTGGTGCAGCTGAGGGCTCAAAATGTGGCCAGGCTATTCTCTGGAGCTGCCCCTGCACCCACTACAGACATGGCAGGCAAACCACATGGTTAGAGGATACCTGCTCTGCAGTGGTATAGAGGATTCCCTTCCATTAGTGACATATCCCCAAAGAGACCACAGATACTCACAGTTTCCAGGTCCTGGTTGGCTGTCTTAATGTCTTGCATTGGGTTTGTACCCAGGAAACTGCGAGCACGGATCTGCTGTGTGTGCCGCCTTATCTTGTCCTCCAGCTCTGCTAATGGTGAGGCACTGGAACACAGACACTTGGATGCTGCCCTTAGGCTAGAAGTTCCCATTACAGCCGAGAAAGTACCTTTTCCCTGTAGCCCACTAGCCATCCTGAGGCACCAGGTAGCTATGGCATGGCTCCTTGCCTCCCCCTAGAGATGCTGGGCTTAAGGGAGCATCTTTATCCACAGGGCCACTATGCTTAAACACCCTCAAGCTGGGGCTGGAGAGCAAGCTCAGAGGTTAAGAGCACTGGGGGTCTTACATAGGACCTAGGTTCAGTTCCCAGCACTCTCATGGTGGCTAACAAACCACCTATAACTCAGTTACAAAAGATATGACACCCTCTTCTGGTCTCCTCAGGCACTGTACACACATGGTACACAGACACACATGCAGGCAAAACACCCAGACACATAAACATAAATCTTTAAATACCCTCAAGTCCATGTGCGGCTGTGCCTATCTAGGAGCCTGTTCTATGCATGTGGAGAACAGTGTTTCTTTTCATAGGTCAAACAGATTTACTAGATTTACCGAACCTTTAGACAGAGCAGAACGTTTCATTGACCTGAGATTTTTAAACACATCTCTATCTCTGTTCACTGTGACTCTAAAGCTGCTATTTCTTAACTGTAAATGCACTGATTTAGAATGGCAGAAAGAGGCCATGGACCTGTCTAGATACAGGGAGCCCCTCACCATCTCCTTCCTGCACTGTTAGCTCTCTGCCACCTGCCCTGGACACTGCAATGCTTCTACAGGGTCCCAGTGGCTTGGCTCAGATCTCTCCCCTTCCCTGTTGGGTCTTTTATTGAAACCTAGCTTCCCCAAAGCTATCCTGAGCTACAGATGGATCTCCCAGCTGGCCAACTGACATGCCAGTACCCCTGTTAGTAGCCTAGTGTCCCCCTGGACAGAGGCTCTGATACTAGGGCATCAATTTCTAAGGTACTATGAATCGGTCTTCTCATGTGTTCTCCTGTCTTTTCTTTTGGCAGAACACCCAGCATACCACTAGGGGAAGGTTAGGTGTAGTCTTGAGGACTAAAAAGTCAGGGCTGAGGGTAAGACAAGTGCTCAGGCACTGGAATAGCTGGGGTAGAATGGGGAGCCTGCCTATAGGAGTACTCCTGTAGGGGAAGTCTTCCTGATCATCTGGCAGGGTGATAGAACTCCAAGGGCAGGGACCATGTCTTTCCAAGATCGCTCACTGTGCTGTGTTCACATAAGGCTGGACACTCAGAGGCACTGACTGGGGAGCCCAGAATGCACAAGTGTCACCAACCTTATCTCTATAGTTCTTTGTGCTGTCCCCTCTCCACCGGGCTTCACTTTCCCAAATGGACTCACTGGCATTTTCCCATAGTCTGTCAGATCTGTGGCAAAGGGAATCTTCGATGCCATCTAAAAACAAACCGCAACAAGGTATTTCCATCAATGAGTGAGAAGGCTGCTCTTCCCACAGGCCCACTTGCCAGGGTCATGAACTTTCCCTTCACCCTGTTAGGCCACCTAGGGACTATATAGAGCGGACATTATTCACAGGCATTCCTCTGTCTCTCAAAGGCCCCAACAACACAGGTTGGAGTACAGGCAATATCCATCAAGGATGCTGGGTATGCTCAAGGTTGCTAGAGTTGACCCAGGATACCCTGAGAGTCTGTCACATGACAGAAAACACACTACTATTAACAGGACCCAAGTCATTCATAACGGTGTGATTAAAATCACAAAGTTTCAAGCTAATAAATACATAAGTGCTGATGCAAACTGAGTGTATCAAGTATAGGCCTTAAACTCGGCCAGTCTGCAGGACAGAGTTGCTGGCCATGGATCTAGAAACTGTGAGTGGGACAGGTGATAAGCCTATAGGTGTCTCAGTTGTCCCCGATAGAGCAGCTGCTTTCCGAGGGATACTAGGGCACGTCCAGACAAGCCTTTTGGTACAGCCACCCCACCCCCACCCAGGCCCTAAGGCCAAGTAGTACTAGATCTTTCAACAGCCTGGAGCGCTCCCAGTTTGTTTCCAGGATGTCCCACAGCCCTTTGCCATGTTGCCACAGTGGCCCTCGTCTCTGATTTCACTGAATTGTGAGAACAGGGCATGGGGAGACGGGCCCAGCCCAGAGCAGAGACTTGTGTGCTCTCTGTAATATTAAGGATTTTCTTGAAGTCATGGCAACAGCCCACTCCTCACAGCCCCCTAGGCACACCTCTTATTTCTGGCCTGATGACTCTCAGGATTTATTGCCACTCACACCCTACTTGGCCTTCCTTATCCACTGTGGTCCATGTAGACACTGGACTGGCAGTAACCCTGCCTTCTGCCCTATAGCCTGGGCCATCTTGTCTCCTGACTGCTGTGGCCTTCCTCCAGGGCCTGTCTACTCCCAAGTCACAGACACACCAAATCCAGGCTGGTCTCCAAATTCTCCTCTCACTATGACCTAAGAGATCTCCTGTCTGCTCCCAGCTTCTCATGCCCAGTGCCTGTACCTTCTTTGCTCTGCTCAGTCTCAAGAGCCAAGCAAGGCTCAGCCCTAATCCTGGCTCCCTCTTAATAGTGGAGGCAAGGCAATTTCATCTTGTTTGGTTTCAGATCCTGGGACTAGAGACTAAGGTGTATATTTTGTATATCAAAGCAGACCTGGCCTCCAGGTTTTCCCTGAATCCCTCAGTTGCTACCTGGCACACCCTCAGAACTTTTCAGCCCAGGGTTTTGGCTCCAGCCCCTCCCCCTCTCTTCATCTCTCTGTGCATGCGCCCTTTCTTTCTCACCTTCCCCCTCTTTCTGGTGATTTCCCTGGCCTCGGTCCCTGGGGAAAGTGAACTAACTCACCTGAGATCAGCTTCCTAATAAACCTACATTTTAAATAATCCAATCTGGCTTGAATTGGCTCATTTCATCGGCAGAGAAATAACTTATCACACCTTAGTGATTAAAGAAACAGAAGTCCAGACTTGAGACATTTCTATCTTCCTCCAAGTCTTCTGCTGTAATGGCCAGCTTCCTGCAGAGCCATTAGATGGCACCTGAAGCTGTTTCTGCAGCTCCAGGCAAGCAGATGTGCCTGAATAGGACATGCTAGTAAGGGCAGCAAGGACCACGTGACCAAGTGCTGCTCACACTGCTGCCTCTGGGGGATGAGGTGGGGAACTAACCCAGTCTCAGATTCAGGACCTTTAAGTGAGTGTGCCTCTGTCTGCAATGTGCAGGGTCCGTGCATGGGAAGGCAGGTTGTGAGACTCCAAGGCTGACTTAGTAGAGTGAGATTGAGTGGAAGAGGAGGAGGGGGTGAGCTTCCTGCCAGGGCCCCTGCTATGCACTATCTCCCTGCAAGGGTGGACTTTGAACTCAGCCAGACCCTGCCTCCCTATCAGATCGCATCTTCCCTTCCGAGCAGATTTCCAGGGCTGGAACCTTATCTGCCAGCATGTGCTGTTCAAACCCAGCATGCCTGACACTCTGAAAGGCCTGGAACCCAGGAAGATGCAGTTAGGGGACAGGAGCCACCACACCCTTCTTTTACAGCCACCCCCACCCCGGAAACACACAGGGCTGGGACACAGCAGAATTCCACTTGCTTGCCGGCTGGGCTGTGACAGCTGCTTCACCATAGGAGATCAAAAGTCTTCCAAAGAAATTCCAACAGAAAGAAATGCATGATGGTAAGTCCAGGTGATTTGTTTTCCTCCATTAAAGTCAGACATTACTTGTTTTAAAAATTAAAGGCAAGTGTTTGAGGGGGGGCACTCATCTACATGATTTTCCTATTACAGAAAAATATAGGCAAGAAAAATTCATCCAAATACCTTATTCTCTAAGAACAACAACAAAAATGTAGGAGTTTGAAAATTGGGCAGCCTTTTAGGCACAGGGAGTGTTGGTGACTGGGGAAAGTTCTCATCAGCTTTACAAGGAGCGTCAAACACTCAATTGCTATGGAGGCCCAGGGGGGGAAAAACAGGCTCAAAGGTCACAGGCAAGGCTGTTGGCTTCAGAACAACACGGAAAAGAGAAATGTAAGCTTTTTCTGAATAAGGTGGTAGACCTGGAGTCTTACCAGCGTCCAGTCTCAGAAGTCTTTTACCAGGCTGTGCCTGCACAGGCTACAACTTACACACTCACGGGTCACAAGAAGCACAGGAAAGGCAAGTGGGCTCAGTCTGGAGCCAAACTGCAAGGGCATTTCCTCACACATAGTGACTACCCAGGCTTGGCACACAGTGCTCCAGGCTGGAGCATCAGCTCCGCCCAGCAGCCTCCAGCCGTGCTCAGCACCCTAGCACCCTCTAGTGACCTCCTGTCCAACTGCAGGATCCCGTACAAGCTGAGAACTCACCCTAGGCTGGCACAGGGACACACCTACTGTGAGTCCCCACTGTGTGTTTGTTTCTGCAGATAACAAAATATGCCACCAAACATCTCTGCTCATTGCTTCCTATCAGACTGCTGTTATCTCTGAAGAATGAACACAGACTCTTCAAAGACACTATCTTGTTTGTTTGTTTGTTTGTTTGTTTTTTGAGATAGGGCCTCATGTGGCCTCAAACTCCATCCTTAGTTGATTCTCCTGTCTCTGCCTCCCAAATGTTGGGATTACATCACAAGACAATGCCCAGTTTCTGTGATGCTGAGACTCTCACCCAGGGCTTTGTGGGTGCTAGGAAAGCCCTCATCACCTGAGAGGCATCCTCCATCTGCTTGTCCTGTTACTGAGATGATCTTCCAGGAGGCTGCTGGGAGCTGTGCTCACAGACTGCTCACAGTGCAGGCTTCTTAGCTGGACCTGTGGAGTAGCTCATACACGATGAGCTCATACCTCTAGCCATTTGGGTTTTCTCTTGGGAAGTGCTTGTCACATCCTCTCCCCATTTCTCTCTTAATCTTTGGTTTCCTTTAAAAAATATTTTTAAGAAGTTTTTTGTTTTTTTGTTTGTTTGTTTTTTACTTTATGTGTACTGAGTTCTTTGCCGGCATGTATGTATGTGTACCATGTGTATGCCTGGTGCCCAGGGTGACTAGAAAAGGTCACTGGATTCCTCCTAAGGGGACTAGAAGAGGTCACTGAATCCCTTGGAAGTTGAGATGGTTGTGAGCTACCATATGGGTACTTGGAACTGAAGCCAGGTTGCAGGAGCAGCAAGTGTTTGTAACCACTAAGTAATCTTTCCAGCCCTCTTTGGAAAATTTTCATCTCTCTCTCTCTCTCTCTCTCTCTCTCTCTCTCTCTCTCTCTCTC